TACATAGAGGGGAGAGACAAGCCTCGGCTAAGGCGGCCGTACATCGGATAGATTATTCTTGGCGGGACAGAACTTTTGTGAGGCACCTCCGTAGTCAGTGGATATTAACTTAAGGCCCGTGCTTAATGCCCTGAGTATTGGGTCTTGTCAGGCACTAGTCCTAATTAGGCAAACCCTGGGTATTGACCCCCCCCTCTCGCAGAACTGAAATAGCCAGACAACAGCAAACCACCACCAAAAGTACCCACTTTGAACGCTAAATATCAACACAACAACAACGTTCAAATATATATGTATAGCATACAAAATAAAGCGCTATATAGATTTAATAGATGTCTACGTTTTTAGAGAGTTAGACCTTACGTACAAAGGTGCAGCTGCGTGTTAAGTTGATCAAGTGAAGAAACTAGCCCTTTCGCTTGCCTGAGATGTTCGGCCATTTCGGTTCCGCGAGAGCCCCCCCCCTCTAGCTCCTAAGTATCACGCGACAAAATGTCCCGGGTGTAATGTCGCGTATGCTGATTGGCTGGCGCATAGATATCGGGTGTATTGTCGCGGACATATTGTCGCGCAATGCTAGTAACCCTACGTAACCCTAATACTGCTATTTGTGTCAAGCGCTACATTGCTTCTGTGAAGCAGGTCTCACAAGCCGGATCAGTCCTCTCCCCGGAACCTCCGCCACCATCGACTTGATGTCGCCATCTCTCCATTTTCTCCACCTACAATCATCCACCACTTCTGGAGAAACCAAGGCTGGATCTCCCACGATCTATCTTCCCAAGGCGTCGGACCCCAGCATCGAAATGCATCGCGGACGTCCAAATCTTGGATAAAATCGTTTTCATCAAATATCTTGGGCTCCACTGATCGTAAAGCTAACAAGTTTTCGCGAAAATCCTTAAAAGGCAAGCAATCAATGTAAAGATCGTGGTCGTACTTTCTCTGGCATTCGCCCGCGATAAGATCGGGTGCGCATGTGAGTTCGTACAAGTTTACATGTGATGTATGATCTGTCCATGGTGATAGCATGCGGTCATCACCACATTTGTGCTCTTGGAGGCGCGGGAAGGAGATGCCCAAAACGGCTGCGTTTGCAGCTCCTGCTGCATAGAAGGAGTATCGCGGAACGTGGATGTAACTATCCAATGGGATTTGCAAAGTAGAATTTGTGGCATGTTGACTGACAGCATTTGCAACTTGACTGTTCGGCAGCACAGATTGCGCAACCAGCGCATCGGGTTCCAACACCGTTGGTAACAAAGAGCTTCCAGCTACCGTCCCCCACATTGAAGACTGGAGATTATCGGACAAGGCAAAGGTTTGTTCCAACATGTTGTCATTGTCGAAATACGCGGGAAAGCCGACTAGCTCTCCCGTGCCACCGCTTGTATTAGTGGCTACCTTTGCTCCATCCCCGTTCGCCTGCGAAGCTCGTTGCTTTTCCCCTGCGTGCCTGTTAGAGTGGCCTCATCCAGGGAGCGGCCAACGAACGATATCTTCTTTGGGCTTCACGGCCTTGCTGCCTCCTGTTCGCTGTGATGCGGCGCTTTTTGGGCGCTGACACCGCTTCAGTCGTGTTATCCATGGCGAGGGAGATCAGTCTGAGGGGCAAGGGCCAAGCTGCAGTAGGCTAGAGCATGGCTTATATCCTGGGATGTGAGCCATGCTGCAGGACAATAAAGGAGGGCTTACAACCTTGGACGTGAGCCACGCTGACCACTAAGCCAATTTTGGTTAGTATACGCAGTCCAACCACGTGATCTTCTCTTTCCGATCGCTCAATGTGAGCCACAGAGACTGGCTCACCGTGCTTGTAGAAACATCAAAAAGCGACCAGAGAGCTTAGAATCACTGAGCAGAACATTCGTCATCATCATGGCCCATTCCAAGTATAAAATCAGGACCTATGTCTGCTACACACTAGCCAACAGATACAGCAATGGCATCCACAACCAGAATCTTTCATCATTCCTCTTATGCTGCAATTTCCCCTACTACGATCGAAAATGATCAGTCTGGCCGAACGATCCTAATTATAGGAGCTTCATCTGGCATTGGCTTCGCCATAGCTAAAGCCTTTATGCAGGCCAAAGCAGCCCGAGTGATCCTGACAGGACGTCGGAAGGAGGCGCTTGAAAAAGCGACACAAACCCTGCGAGATTCATTTAGGACTTCTGAGATCGTCCCTATCGTTTGCAACATCCGCTCTGAGGACAGCATTAGGGACCTATGGCAGCACCTTTCGTTGAACGAAATGTTCGTTGACGTGCTTGTCATTAACGCTGCCGATGCCTCAACTGGTTCTATAACTCCAGTCAGAGAATTTCTCCCTCAGCTCCGCACGGTCATGGAAACCAATCTCTTCGGACACCTCCTCGCAGTCTCCAGCTTCCTTGACCAGCCGCAGGATGAACATGTTGGAAGGCCAAAAGCTATCGTCAACATCTCGAGTTTTGCAGCGCATGCCAATCCTTCCCCATTACAGGCCGCATACAGCGTCAGCAAAGCATCTCTTGCGCATACATTGCAGCTTCTTGCCGACGAAATGCCCTCGAGTCGATGCCACATCGTAAATGTCCATCCGGGTGCTGTCCTGACTGAGGCTGCTGAGAAGGCGCCACAAGAAGTGAAGGACGCTGTGGTGTGGGATGAGCGTAAGTTTATAGCAATTGTTGAAGCGTTGTATCAAAGCTAATATATGCATCAAGCGGAACTGCCTGCAGCGTTCTCAGTTTGGGCCTCAACCAGGCAGGCACAATTCTTGCATGGTCGATTTGTCTGGGGAAATTGGGATGTTGAGGAGCTGGCGGAGCGCAAGGCAGAATTTGCCGATCCGGGTTTCCTTAAGCTTGGTTTACAGGGCACGGAGTACGTCGACAGAACGACTATATTCGACAAGATTCGTACAGGAGGTAACCTGGATGCTGCATGAGCTTTATGTGAAATTATGCCTAACATCCGAAGTCAGCACAGCTAGACGTAGTTCTTATTACTTCAATCAATTATTACACAAATGCACGCGATCGAGTTATATAGTATATAACGTCCATCCCTGTGTTACGCAAATCCCCCATTCCGCAAGAATCCTACAGGTTAAACACTACAGGTATTTCTACACTAATTATATCCTTATAGTACTCTATAGGGCGAATTTGTTAGCTTTTCCCTATACTATAAAGGTTTTTTAGGGAAAAATATATAGTATTAGCTCACAGCAGGCCTCGCCAAGATCTGCCACTTCTTCGGCCAGCCACTGTTGCCACTGCCACTTCTCACACTACCGTATACACAGGTACACTATGACCGCATGCACTCATCTATTACTCTTAGGAAATGCTAGCCAACGCAATAGATCCGCAACAATGCCACCTTGCAGTTCATTACAGCCCTAGCAAAAAGCAGTGTTATTGAAGCCAACGCACGAATTTCCCGGCACACATGTCTGCAAATCATCAGCGCACTGCATAACCACTGCATAGACTCGACTTACACTATTGCAGGGATACCATGCTTTGCCATTGGCGCAACATCCGTTCGCCTCTGGACAGTAGCTGAAGATGTAGTCCGGATCCGACCCTTCGGGCAGCTCGGCGTGGTCGTTTCTAAATTTCTCAGATCTTTTGTAGCATTCCTGGGATTTGGGCGATTAGCTTGCGAAAACGCGCTTTGCGGTGATGGTAGTCACCCAGCCGGAGCCACCAGCGAAGACACCAGCGGCGAAGAGGAGGAAGATTGCCTGGATCTCCATGATGATGGCGTTTGAGGATCAGTTAACGTTTATCTGGTGGAATTTCGAGTTGCAGATGAAGACAATGGACGATATGGGACTTGAACAGGTCCCTCGTATTATAATTAAGAAAAGCTCGCCTTCTCCTCCTACGCCTACTCGATTTCGGCTCAATTACAAATATTCAAGTAAGTCGTTTGTCCGGGCTCGCCAGAGCACCTTTGGTGTCTATAAACCTAATTCCTGATTTGTATTCTTGTTTTCGGAATACAGTTTACAGGGATCATGAAATTCACACGGCCTGAGGGGAGTTTTCACATTTCTTATGCTTTTAAAGGTGCCCAATATCAACGAGAAACACCATATCTTCTCATCACCGGAGGGCGCGGTTTTTTCTCCGTGTTCGAGTTCAACGAGGAAACAAACACGCCCACAACTTCGCACCTGATAGTATAAGTTTCACCAATAAAATTGTCTAGCGTCGGAGTTTTCGGATTTAGGCCACTGAGTTCTGTAATATAAGATTCTTATTGCGCTTACTGCGTCTCTAGCTCACCGCTGTTCCTATGCACATACTTCGCTCTAGGATTGCCGATTTTCCGTTCAGCAACACGGTCTTGGAGATATGTATGGTTGAGAGTAGTCCAAGTACCACTTACCTGGTCTCTCCAAGTGAGATGAGATAGGCTATACTCTGCAGTCAACGGCAATCGCACGGCTCGGCTTAATACCTGGTACGGCATAAGCAACTTACCCAGCGCTGCCTGATAAGATATGCAGAATACCGATCTCATTCTGTTGTACCAGAAACTTCTTCAAAAGTATCAAACTAATCTGGCTTTAAGCTATGTTCATAAAGATCCATAATTGTCTTACAAAACGGAAAGGATGGGAGAGCGATACCTATACTACGCGGCCGTAATGGAATCCAACTCTTAGAAGCATCTCTTAGAAACTGCGAGAGTTCCTCCAACAATCTGTTCCCTTAGCCTATCTACGTATAGCGTGGCGGGCCAAGTCTCCAAAACATACACACATCAAACCGTACTTTGTCTCAGCACCCTGATTCTCGGTTTTCTGTAGTCGCATGTCCCATAGATATCGAAACCTCAGCTCATCGTAATGTTGGATCCTTAAAGGGCCTCGATTTCTGCGTCATGGCACGATCCTTTAGTTGGCAACAAAGAGATGGTACGTTGAGGCTACGCTGTTCATGGTGTTCGATGCGACGTTTGCTCTACTACTTATGCGCTTTGGTACGGTAAAATACGTAGAGCACGGTTTGATGCTACGATTTGATTTCCAATATCTCTAAACGGCGGGAGTAGTACGGCTGACAGAGCTTAGACGGTTTAATGTTGTAGATACATGGGCACCGGTATTCTGGCGGGCATGGTTGCTGTTGTTCTTTTAATCGGAGCTTGTTGATTTCATAATCCATTGAGCCATTTAACGGGTTGAAGGATCAATAGAACAGATAATATATCTGTCGTTATCTCATCGATCAAGTCAAGTGGGTTGACTGATATCCTTTCGCGGCTAGTTAATCGGAGCTGTAGAGCCCTCGGCCGTCGGCACTCCTTCTCAATTGAACGACATCTCTCGAAGATTATGCTACAATCACCACGGTAGCTTATCGCACCGAAAGCAGGAAAATATGGGTTCCGAATCCACCATCTCGAGTAATGGTTGCTCTCACGTAGCGGGAAGGTGAGGGGACAGCAAGCGGATCGAAGTCCCCTCTGGGCTTAGCGTACGACGTCACGTTCTCGATATCATCCATCAACCGGCAAGCGACAACAAGGATCTTCACTTGTCAAGGTCCTTTTGGGTAAGACTTCACAAAATACAGGTCTGTGCCCGGCTCAGCCGAACTCAAGGCGAGAGCTAAGCAGAGCCAAGAGAGCCACCCCGCACTCTGCATACAACGTTACAGTGCGGGACGGCTTAGAGTCTCCGCTTCCTTCCCTCGATAGGTACCATTTGCTAGGTATCATTCGACAAATAGCCTATCGTTCGGTGCCGAGACGGCGTGTTGTTCTTCAATTTTCCGGCCGTGACGAAGTACGTGCAGGGAGACGGAGAGAGTTGACCCGCACCCTATGTGGTCCTATGGCGCCTTTTCGCCGAACATACAAAAGACGCGATGCCGACGATGGATGTACCACTGCACTCCAAAGTATTCAACATAGTCGGCGGTAGCGCCACTCTTTGATTTGGCCTCTTGGATGAACAAATCCCGCAGCTTGGTCCTCCATCAACGCTGTCCCGATTGTTCAAGATGTTGAGCTCATCTGGGACGCTGTACAAAACGTACAGATTCGTCCTGCTCGGCGTCTTGTTTTCGCTTTGTTTCGATGCAACATCTGCACATGTTGTCAAGAAACCGCGTGCGGCTTCAACGGGCCGTGTGCGCTCGTCTCTCAACGCAGATTGGCGCTTCTCACGTTTCACGTCCAATCCCGATGGCCTCAGCTACGAGACGCTGAAGCCATGGATTATGCCCTCTGCAAACGACTTCATTGTTGGAGATAAATACCAACGCCCTTCTGGCGCTGCGCCTGGCTCCAACACCACCTATGTGCAGTCGAACTTCGACGATGCAAGCTGGCAAGCAGTAACTCTACCACACGACTGGGCCATTACGGGGACATTCGACGCTCCTGGCGTTACTGGTGACCTAGGATTTCTGCCAATCAACGGAATTGGATGGTACCGACGATCGGTTTCAATCGATGCTGAGATTATTGACTCTGGAAAATCCATTTTCCTGGATGTCGAGGGAGCCATGGCCTATGCTGCAGTGTGGTTCAATGGCCAGCTTGTGGGAGGGTGGCCTTTTGGCTACAATTCCTTCCGTCTAGACCTTACGCCCTATGCCAAAGCTGGAGCGAATACCCTTGCTATTCGCTTGGACAACAAGCTGGATTCATCACGCTGGTACCCCGGTGCTGGAATCTACCGAGATGTTTGGCTGGTCACCGTTGATCCTGTACACGTCGCGCAATGGGGAACATACATCACTACTCCTAGCATTTCAGAAGCCGAGGCAACTGTTGATATTTTTGTTGAAGTTGAGAACAAGGCCAACAGCAGCCAGAGTGTCGAGGTCGTTACTCAGATCTACGAGCGCGACCCTACATCCAAAGCGGCGAAAGGCAACAATGTTGCGACCTTTCCAACAGCAAACACCGATGTGGCAGGGAACTCGAAGCAAGCTGTAAAAAGCTCAGTTTCAGTAGCAAACCCTAAACTCTGGGGACCTGCACCAACTCAGAAACCCAACGAGTATGTTGCCGTTACCACTGTATCAATTGACGGAAAAGAGGTGGACACCTACAAAACTGTCTTTGGCATCCGCTCCGTCGCATACGACCCAAATAAGGGTCTTCTGATCAACGGTGAGCACATCTACGTGCAGGGGTCGTGCAATCACCACGATCTTGGGTCGCTAGGCGCTGCTTTCAACGTACGAGCTGCGGAGCGCCAGATTGAGACTCTTATGGAGATGGGCAACAATGCTCTCCGAACTTCGCACAACCCACCAGCACCCGGGTACCTGGATCTCGCTGACCGCATGGGTCTATTGGTCATGGACGAGATTTTTGATACCTGGAATTACGCCAAGGTAGAAAACGACTTCCATCGCATTTTCCAAGAATGGCATGAGCCTGACCTTCGTTCATTTATCCGCCGCGATCGGAACCATCCTTCCATTGTCTCTTGGTCTGTTGGCAATGAGCTTCGGGAACAATCCAATGCTACTGGCACTGCAACCGTCAAGATGCTTCAAGATATAGCTCACGAGGAAGATCCTACTCGAAAAGTTACCATTGGTATGAACAATGCCAATGCAAGCACTGGAGTTGCTGCAACCATCGACATTATCGGCCTAAACTACCAGGGAGAAGGCAAAGGTGTCTCTTGGCGAAGCTCGTTTCCTGATTTCAAGAACGCATTTCCCGAAAAGATGATTTGGAGTACCGAGTCTGCTTCTACTATCAGTTCTCGTGGCAAGTACCTGTTCCCTGTCACTTCCAGCAAGAGCGCAGTAATTGGCGGAGGGCCTGGCGAAGGCGGAGATCCTGTGACGAACCACATCAGCTCTTACGATCTCTACGCACCGGAGTGGGCCGCGTCTCCAGACAAAGTCTTCCAAATGCAAGACATGCATCCTTATGTTGCGGGGGAGTTCGTCTGGACTGGACATGATTACATTGGTGAGCCCACGCCATACGCCAATGTAAGCCGCAGCTCCTACTTTGGCATCATAGATCTCGCAGGTTTCAAGAAGGATCGCTTCTACCTCTATCAGTCTCGCTGGAGGTCTGATCTTCCCATGGCACACATTCTACCCCACTGGACCTGGCCAGAGGACCGTACTGGCGAGACCACTCCTGTACATGTCTACAGCTCTGGTGACGCAGCCGAACTCTTCGTAAACGGTGTTTCTGCTGGTCGCAAGGAGAAGGCAGAATACGAATACCGCTTCCGTTGGGATGATATCAAGTACAGTCCCGGCAACGTCACCGTAGTAACTTATAAGGATGGCGCAGAATGGGCAACCGCGTCGCAAGTCACAGCGGGATCTGCTGCCTCGCTCAACATCACTGCAGACCGCTCTACCATCACCGGTGACGGCTACGACCTCTCTTTCATCTCTGTGGCCGTGCATGATAGCCAGGGTACTCTCGTTCCGACCGCCGACCACGCAATCAGCTTCAAGGTAACATCCGGCCCTGGTGTCATTATCAGTACAGACAATGGCGACCCAACAGATCTAGTACCGTTCCCGGAGACAACAAGGAAGGCTTTCGGCGGCTTGGCACTAGCTATCGTAAGGAGCGAAGCTGGGGCAACTGGAGAGATCGTGGTTGAAGCCACGACGGAGGGCCTGGAGGGCGGCAGTGTGACTATCACTGCTGCTTGACTTTTAGAAAAGGAAGGTTTTCGATTGGGATGCTGTGATGTGCAGTCTGTCATAATGTAATGTATCATGGAAAGGAAATCAAGAACAGTGTTTGTGAAGATGAGAAAGAAAGCGAGCGTAAACAATGCCTGATGTACATGGGGTTTTGACGGTGTTTCTCATGTGAATGAATCATTGAAGTGAAAATCACCGAGTGTCATGAGATTATCCTTAAGTTGGATATAAGACACTTTTGACTCTGTTTTGCATGGAGAAAGTGTGTTCACACGTATTTAGAGAATGACCAGAAGTGGGTGAGTGTAAAACAGTTTGCTTGAGATTGGTTTCTGAAGCAATCGCATTCGGAATCTTCGTAGACTTTAAATTCCCTGCCAACCTTATCCTTTGTTCTGTTAGTGTCTCTGTATCAACCTTCTTAAGACACTTCGTTATTACTGGAAGACAGATATGTTTATCTATCAACAATGACCGCAATCATCAGACTTTTGCAATAATCCCCCTGATATGTTTCTCTTGTATAGTTATCTGACTCTGTCGTTAGCTCTGGAGTTATCGAACATCGGTAAGCTCATATATACTCGCTTGCAACACTGGAGCCTTTGTACGTCGCCATCACCCATTGCCATGCTCTTGTTTACAGAAAACCATCTGATCTCACTTCAAGCGACTTCAGAGTGAATCGTCAGGTTGCCATGGCACCATGGCAGGTTTCACTCTTTCTGTTGTGTATATAAACAGGGCCGCCCACCTCACTCTGCTCACCACCACATTTTGGTCCCATTTCGTGAGAACACCCACACCCCCTCTATTCATTGATGATACTCTAACAGTATACAGAGATACATCCACAATATCTTCTGCTGCAACCCGCAAGGTTGTTCATTCTCTTTCTCCTGCACGCCGCGTCCCCGACATGCGCGGTGCTGCAAAGCAGGCTAGTGTCGCTGTCAAGCCGATCAGGCTGCCTTACAAGCAGCTCCAACGATCAAACAAGTCAACCGCAAAGCCAAGAACGACGTTGGCTGCGTCAAGGCAGAACTTGCCCCCAGCCAGCGGGTTGACGTCAAGGACAAGACCGAGCGCTTCGGCGACTCGTGTACCCCAACTCCACGCACGATCCAGAGCTGACTACAAGCAGAATGGTGCCGGTGCGTTTTTGAAGACCAAGATCCCAAGACCCACGGTTGTGGCGTTGAAGGATGCTCGGGTCCGACAGAGCATGGAGTGTCGGGTCAGATCAGTGAGTGTTGTTCGGACCCCCAAGGCCAAGTTGACTTCACTTCCTGTAGATCAAGTAGCAGTCGCCCAAGACTGCGAAGACGAGACCACAGAGCAAGGCCCTATCGAGGTCGACTCTGAAATCCTGCAGCCTGTCGAGCGGAACGAAGCCGAGGACTCGGGAACCGACGATTCCTCACTGCTCTTCAACGACAAGAGCTTCGACGAGTCTGTTGATGCGGACCAACAGACTTCGACCCTCAACCTCATCGGACGGGAGCTCATCAGCATGAAGCGACTCGGGCTTGGACTCCGGATCCACCGATCGCCGTGGTTTGTCGGATTCGCCCATTGTCCGCAGTACAAGGGCGAAGGTGTCAGCATGCCACGCGTGCACCCAAGGAAGGAGTTTACTGTGGAGGAGCAAGGACAAGGTAAGTGAATTGATCTTGCTTCATGTAAGATATGGTAACTAACAACATGCAGATCTACGCGCCACTACCGCTCCGTCGAACCCGCTAAAGGATGGTGTCAAGACAACACCACTACCATCCCGACCAGGTACCAAGGGGACAACACGAGGCAACGTAGTCAAAGCTGCCAAACCCGCATCTTCGGTACCAGCCAAGAGCGATAAGGTGGCTGCGATCACGAAGCCTCAGGGGCAGGGAAAGCGTCACCTTCCGACAACCACCACGCCTCTCGCCCGTAGCCAGAAGCCTGTTCCACAGACAAAGGCTATTGGCGATCGCAAGCCCCGTCCTACCGCTGGACGAACCCTCAGTATCAAGCAGTCAGCAGCCCCCAGTACCGACAAGAAGCCACTGGGTCGTGGACCCCACGCAGGAAAGCCCGCTCCAAAGCCAACTGCACGCCCATCCCTTCCCTCCACGGCCAAGAAGCAGGTCTGTTTCGTCTCCGGACCCATCAAGCCACGCTTCTTCTCCGCCAAGGATACCGTCAAGCAGTCCGCATCCCCTGATGCCCTGCCATCACGGTACGAATGGGCTCCACTCGTCGGTTTGCAGCACTCTCGGCCTACCTCGGTCGGCTCCGAGACATCAGAGATCTTCCAAAGCGACAAAGCGGGTAGCTTGACGCTCAAGCGCCGCTTCCTCACTCGTTTCGCCAGCGTCCAGGCGTACGAGACAATTCGTCGCGAAGAGGCTCTTGCCAGGGGTGAGCAGCCGGGCCTGGGTCAGCTTAACTATGGCAATGCTGTTGTCAGGATTGCCCTGCAAGCGTCCAGGGTCGTCGAGGCGGACCACATTGGGATCCTCCAGGACCTGAGTGGTATTGGTAGGTGTGGACTCGTAGCGACTAGCCGGCGACGAATGGCCAATCCCGTTTGGGTCTTTGGATCGTTCAAGGAGCCCTGGAGCCCTGCGACTATTCCGACCAAGCGGGTTGCGGCTTATAAGAAGCCGGTTTTCTAGTCGACGTCTGGGTCTGAGGGGAAGTTGAGGTTCAAGTATTTGAAGCAAGACTGATAGAAGGATGCAAGGTATGTTGCTCAGCAAACATGATTGTTTCTCATGTACTAACGTTGAAGCAGGACGACGTCAGCAACACACACCAGGATGAGTGGTGGGAAGAGTCACGTTCTCAACACGCATGATTATCCAGTAAGCTTTCTTTTCCCTTCTACTGCTGAGTTGTACCACAGGATCGATCAAAACAAAGCCGGGGCATCCTTTTCGACAGGGCGGGGCGAGTGGTGGGACCCCGCACATCCGAACAACTCTTTTCGTCATACCTTCGACAATCGACCGTTGGCCATATACCGAGAGGAAAATCTGGAGTTGGAGATGGAAAAACAGGAAGAGATAGACGAGGTGCAATTTCAGTCACCTTGGGCCGAAGATGGACCTGCGCTAAATGCAAGTCTTAGCCGGGTCGAGCAGCAAGTCCACTCCGGTGTTTGGGGAATGCGAGTCTTTTTGGGCCCTAGTATCCGTAGACCATAGTCTGGGGATTCTGGGGTTTGGCCATGGGTCATACCAGCCTATCACCTATAGTAGTACGATGAATGCGAACTCCTTCAGTCTGCATTGTATGCACTTTCCATCTCCCCCACTCTTGCGCATGCATCGCCACAAATCAAGTTTTTCTTTTCCCTTTCCAACACACACAAGCCCACGTGTTCTGCTGTGAGCCTCGCCCAATTTCCGTGCCTTTTGTGGCGGTCCGGTATCCAGGTACAAGAAGCAATGGACGGGAGGACTGCATGTGCTTTGCTTCGCACGTGTTGCCGTGATTGGCAGACTGTTATCACGCCTGGCTCAGCATTAGACTGGAAGAGGCAGTTGCCGAGCCCTGTGCACGGCCACACCAAGATGTGCCAAGAAAGAGATGCTGTGAAGTCAGCGGAGACGTCCGGGGAACATATAGTTATATAACAGCCCTGGCTGGAAAAAAAATAATGGTTTCTGTTCTTCGTGCTCGCGCCCTCCCCTTTCGTTTTCACAGTCAATTGCTCGAGTCGAGTCGGCGAGGATGAAGTTCAATACTGCACCAGGCGCCTCTCTGGTTGCCCTCTCAGCTTTGTCTACGCTTGCTCAGGCAGAGGATGTTTTGTATAGCAAGCGCATGGTAAAGCGTGGTCTTGACCAGGACGGAAACTACAACATCTGTAAGCCACATTGCATAGTCTGCTCTATACACTTACTCACGTGACGCAGCATTCTTCCACATCAACGATGTGCACGCACATCTGGACGAGTTCAGCTCTTCAGGAACCGATTGCACCAGGCCTGAGCGAGGATGCTACGGAGGCTATGCCCGTGTCAAGCATGTGATTGAGGAGCAGCGCCCCAATGTCGAAGATAGCCTTTGGCTCAACGCCGGTGATGAGTTCCAAGGTACCCTGTTCTACAGCTACTATGGTGGCGAGAAGATTGCCGAGGTGCTCAACGAGCTCGAATTTGATGCCATGACACTTGGAAACCATGAGTTTGACGGTGGAGATGCTGAGCTTGGAGAGTTTCTTGTCAATCTCACATTCCCCGTTGTCAGTGCCAATGTGCACTCGCAGGATCCAAATGTCAACAAGACGGTTAAGCCCTGGACTATCTTTGAGGAGCATGATTTGGCAGTCATTGGAGTCACCGCGCAAGAAACTGGCAGCTTGAGTAACGCCGATCCAACAACCATCTTTTCCGATGTTGTCGAAGTAAGTCTTCTTTTCTCTACAATCTCCAACCAGATCAAATGGCCAAAGACTAACAACCAACACAGGCCGTGCAAGGTGCCATCGACCAAATCAAGAGCACCACCAACATCACCAGAATTGCAGCTCTTACCCACATCGGCTACGACAAGGACCAGGAACTTGCCAAAGCCACCACTGGTCTCCACCTCATCATCGGCGGCCACAGCCACACGCTCCTCGGCGACATGGAAGACGCCGAAGGCAAGTACCCAACCATTGTCGACAACAAAGACGGCGACGAAGTCTTCATCGTAACCTCCTACCGCTGGGGCGAATACGTCGGCTACATCGACGTAACCTACGATCCCTCGGGCAAAATCCTCGCCTACCACGGCGCCCCTATCCACCTGACCAACACCACCGAGCAAGATGCGCCTCTCCAAGCCGAAATCGAAGCGTGGCGCGGCCCCTTTGAAGAATTCGCCGCCCAAGTCCTCGGCACCACAAAGGTGGAACTCGACCAAAAAACCTGTCAGCGCCAAGAATGTCTCTTGGGTGACTTCATGGCCGACGCCATGCTCTCCTACCGCAAAAACAACACCGACGACGTCGACTTCGCCCTCATCAACGCCGGCGGCATCCGCGCCACCATCGACACGGGCGACATCACCCGCGGTGAAGTCCTAACCTCCTTCCCCTTTGGCAACTCCATCGTCCAACTCCCCATAACCGGAAAGTCGCTCTGGGAAGCCCTCGAAGGCATCCTCACCGGTGTCAACGTCGGAAACGGACGCGCCGTAACGTCTTTTTTCCAAATCAGTCAGGGCATCAAGGTAGAATATAACCCTGACAACGGTAACAATACTAAACTCATCGCTGTTACCATTGGTGGCGAACCGCTGAACAACGATACTACGTATCAAATGGTCACCCTGGATTTCATCGCAGGCGGCGGCGATAATTTCTTTGAGGCTATGACGGATTTTGTGAGTTTGGATACGCAGGATGAGGTTTTGACGAGGTATATTCAGGCGCAGTCGCCGGTGGATATCGAGTTGGATGGACGCATTGAGAAGGTTAGTAGGCAGAGGGATGATGTTGTTGCGCCGGGTAATGGGACGGCGACGAATGGGACGACGCCTTCGCCTTCAGTGGGGACACCGCCGCAACAGACGCAGAATGCTGCAGTCAAGATGGGACAGGGGGCTGTGAGTGCGTTGGTGGTTGGGCTTGTTGCTGCGCTGTGTGTGGTTTGAGAAGATATGAAAGTAACGCCTGATGTTAAAAGAACAAAAAATGTTCAAATACATAACATGTTAAATATAATACTCTGTTATATTTTGATTAAACTACAAAGTTTGTGTATCAACCATATAAGTAAATGCGCCCGCTAACATGACACATGTACTACCGGGATATAACAGGTACTTGCAGAAAAGTAAAGCCCTCCCCCCGACTTTTGCCCTTGTTTGATACACACAGCTTACCCCCCCCCCCCCCCCCC